ATTAAATGCATTTTAGAAAACACACATAAGTGAACTACAGACTTCTATTTGCTAATCACTCTCATATTTCCTCTAATTTTCTATTATAGCTTCAATAAAACCTATATAATTAGTATAGACCCAGGCATGATTAATTTTGGAGGTAATAAACACATCATTATTTATACTTCATGTAAGAAAAACAAATCTAAGATATTTTTAGCAGCATGATGAAGTTTATAGAGAAAGTTCTGAGTTTAATAAAAAATATAGAGTATCATGATGCTGGGGGGAAGGTCTTATAAATTTCATATAAGTTTCATAAATTATGGGTTTTAAGTTAAGATAGATTGGTTCCTAATGATAATGAATCCTGATAAAAGCAAAAAATGAAAACTAACCAACTAACCCCCCCGCAAAACAAAACTAAAAATAAATGAACCAAAAAAGCAAAAGTAAAATTTATGATTCATTAAGTGTCTAATAAATGAAGAGAAATAGTTTCCTCTCAGAAGAAAAATTTATTTAGTAATATTGTAAAAGGAATGAGAAATGAGCCAAATATCATCTTAAGAAAGTCTGCAAGGAGTTTGGGCCTAGGGAAAAAAACCATTCTGGTGTAAGGAGCCCATCTTCTCACATACTTGGAAACTTACACTAAACAACTCAAACTTATGAACCAGTTACTTTGGTCAAATACTTTCTGGCTCAGTGCAAAAGTACTATGCCAACACATACTTGCCAAATTGATGTGGGCTCTTTGGCCATGAACCCGGGCTATTTAGGTCTTGATTAACACATGTACCTTGATGGTGTTCTATAGAATAGAGTTTACATTGAGCAAGGTCACAACATCTTAAACATATTATCTTTCTCCAGCAGGCACAGGGAATTTCTCTTTGGAAAATGTTCGGACATTAGTGCAGCAGGTATTAATAAAACACAAATTGGAAGAGGAAAGGAAGGAAGTTTTAAGCACTAAAAACAGAACTGAAAAACTATTATGTCTGAAAAGTTGTCAGGATAGCAAGGAGAACTTGAATCAAGTCATAACATAAAAAATGGTAGAATAGGCCGGGTGCGGTAGCTCACGCCTGTAATCCTAGCACTCTGGGAGGCTGAGGAGGGCAGATTGTTTGAGCTCAGGAGTTCGAGACCAGCCTGAGCAAGAGCGAGACCCCGTCTCTACTAAAAAAATAGAAAGAAATTAGCTGGACAAC